CCTGCACCAAATCATTCACTCTACGTGGACAGCTTCTCAATGTTCTTAATGAGCTTCAGCTCCTCCGCCCTGGCCAGCGCCTCCCTCGCCACCTCCTTGATCTTCTCGGGGATGTCGTCCACCTCGGGCCGGACGATGGCCATCAGCAGCTCGAGCAGGGGGCCCTCCACCACCTTCGCCGCCGCCTCCTCGCTGGCGGCGATCAGATTGTGCACCACGACGACGCCGCGGTGCGCCAGGTCGAAGTTCTTGCTGCTGACGAGGGCGATCAGCGTGGGCAGCCAGTGCTTCGCCGTGAAGACCTTCAGGGCGGCCTTCGACGAGACGGAGGTGAGCATGGCGAGGGCGCCCGCCGCCGCCGAGACCGTCTCCAGGTCGACGTCCTCTTCTTCCGCCCCTCCTTCTTTGCTGTCTTTATCTTCCTCCTCCTTCTCCTCCTCCTCGTCGCTCAGACCGCCGCAGATGCTGCTGCAGAGGAGGACGAGGTACTTGGTGCGGTCGCTGCCCTCCGCCTCGTAGTACTTCACCACCGCCTCGGAGAGGATCAGGTTGACGATGCACTGGACGGCCGCCCGGCGAAGCTCCCGGTGCTCCTCGTAGGCGTACTGCTCAATGGAGGCGAAGCCGCCGTCCTTGAGGATGCGATTGCGGACTGCAGGGCTGGTCTGCGCCAGGTTCGTCAGCGCCATCAGCGCCTCAAAGTTCTGCAGGCCCTTGCGGTCGGGGTGGAGGAGGGCCATGATCGGTCCGACCACCTCCACCGACCGCTGGTCGCGGAAGACCACCTTGGGGTCGTTGGTGATGGCGATGCGGGCCAGCGCCTGCCCGGCCAGCTGCTTCCCCAGGTCGGTGTTCTGCTCGGTGGCCAGTTTTAGCAGAGCGGCCACGCCGCCCTCCTGCACCACCTGCCCCCGCAGTTCCTTCACCTCGACGAGGGCGTTGAAGACGCGGCTGATGCTCTCCCGGCTGGTCTTCGAGTGGGAGCGGGTGAGGGCGACCAGGGCGGCGGTGACGTGCAGCTCGGCCAGCGCCCGACAGCGGCCGGCGACAAACTCCGCCGCGTCCATCTCGTGCTCCTCCGGGACGTGGTGCTTGCTGAACTTGGCCAGCTCCACCAGCTCCGGCAGCAGCTCCTCCTTGTCGTAGCTGTTGGTCAGGTTGACGAAGGTGGTGACGACGCCGAAGAGGACGGAGAGGTCGCCGCGCTGGCCCAGCTCGACGAGGGCCGCCAGCGAGCGGCGGTCGTCGATGAGCGCCTCCTTCACGTCGGCGTCCAGGGAGAGGTAGGCGAGGCCGTCGGCGGCCCACTTCTTCACGTCCTCTTCGCCCTTCTTCTTTGGGGTGGTGGTTGTTTTGGAGGTTTTCTCCTCCGTTGAAGCTGAAGACTTCTCCTCCTCGGTGCCGTTCAGCAGCGCCGTACAGGCCTCGTACAGCTTCATCGTCGACTCCTCGCTGAAGACCTTGGCGGCGGCGTCTGTTCCGCCGAC